TTAGTTATATAGTCATAAACCAATAAATACATAATTTCAGATAGTGAGATGTACTATGAGGAAGTGGATAGAATATGCTGAGGGAAATAGAGATGGAGATGGGAGTAGGGTTGGGGTATGATTTTAGATTAGGTGGTCAGCAAAGGGTTCTCTGAAAGGCTGACTTTGAAGCAGAGACTGGAATGGAGGACGCCAGCCAGGCAAACAAAGTTCCAGGGAGAGATGGTATCAAGTGCAGAGTCCCTGGAGGAAGAATGATCATGTATATCAAGAGACAGCAAGATGGGCAAGGTAGCCAGTGTAGCCAGGGCAGAGAGTGATAGGAGATGAGGTCAGAATTTGCTAAGGAATTTAGATCTATTTCAGGTGGGATGGAAAGATATTGGAAACTTTTGATCAAGAAACTGCCATATCATTTGAAGAAAAAGCTGAAGGGAAGCAAGAGTGGAACAGAAAGACCAGATAAGAGGCTACTGTAGTAGTCCAGGTAAGAGACAATAGTTGCTTAGACTTGGTGGTAGCAGTGGTGGTGAGAAATTGATACATTTAGGGTATTATTTTGAAGGTAGATTCATTAGGATGTGCTGATGGATAACATATGCGGTGTGAGGGGAAGAGAGGAATTAAAGATGACTCCTAGGTTTTGGGACTGGGTAGCATTTATTTAAACAGGAAAGAGCGGGAGAGGTGTGGGTTTGAGGAAAAAGTCAAGAGTTCTGTTTTAACCAAGTAAAATCTGAACTGCCTACTAGACATCTAAGACAGGATGTCAAACAGGCAGTTGGGCATAAGTTTGGAACTCAGGGTAGAGGTTAATGTTGGAGACAAAATATGATGTTGAAAGCCATGGGATGAGATCACACAGTCAGCGTAGCCAGAGAAAACGGCCAAAGCCTGAGCCCTGGGACATTTCAATATTTTGGGGTCAAGAAGAGAAGAAAAGAATATCACAGGAAACCAAGAAAGGGGCTGAGGTGGGAGGAAAACCAGAAGGGTGTGGTGACAAGTGAAGAAAGTGTTTCAAGAATGAAGGTGTGATCAACTGTCAAATGCTGCTGAGATGTCAAGCAAAGTATCATCTAATTAGCTCAAAGTAAATCCTTCTCTCAGTCTATTTTCTCATAGTGTTTTTATACCTTTCTCATTGCAATTTCCAAGAATTCTGTTGTATAGTTATTTTTGGATGTCTTCTCTCCACTTATGGAGGTTCCTTAAGGCTAGACACCATGTCTTGTTTCTTCCAGACCATCAGATACCCTATTTGCTCAACAAATGTTTGAACAGATAAGTGAATCACGTGGAATTCTATAAAATCTGGAAGGATGTGCCTGACAGAATTAGCAATTAGAGTTGGTTTCCCTGAGCTGTCCTAAGTGGTTTCCTTTAAGACTAATGTGTGGGCTTTGTTCTACCTAGAATGAAAGATGCCCATCACACATTTCAGTTGGACTATTGCTCATCATAACCTACCCAGCTAGCATTTCTATTTTTTTACTCCAATTTCTCCTGCATAGTGTAGTCCAAAAGTAACTTAGCTTTTAACTGATTTGCCCCCACATGACCTTCACCCTGTAACTTGTTTTCGTTTTCTTGACCTGGCTACCCCTCACATTTTAACGTTGGTTTCAGGACCTGGCAATACCTTCAGAGGTCATCAGTAACTTTCTCTGTCACACTCTAACATTAGCTTCTTTACAGTATATCAGAGACATTTCGTATTACACGATAATTTTAAAACAATGATAAAAGGAGCTATAGACATATAGGGACCAGGAATGACCAACTTCTTTAAGGAAGGGTTGGTTGAGATGGCATATTATTTAATACCCAGAAGAGGGCTGGTAGTCAGAAAATGAAATTTTTCCCTCGGCCTGCACAAAAGACCTGGGTGGTGAAAATGTTAAATGCTTCACTACTAGCTGAAAGGTTGGGGGTTTGAACCCCTTTTCAATCCTTGGGTAGGGGTTTTCACCAATCCTTTGACCACTTGCTTTAGTTTTTATATTTGGATGTATGTTTTGTAAAGAGAACTTGTGATTAATCTTGGCCCTTCCCGACTATAGCTGAGCAGCCAGACTATCCATGCAATATTGCAGTATGAAAATCGAGAAGCTCCTTGAGGGCAGAAGCCATACCTATCACATTCACTGCTGTATCCCCCACCCCACAGCACATTACTTGGCATATATCAGGTAGTTAGTAAACACTTGGTGAATGAATTTCAAGAGTGACAGACAAAATGGAACGTATCTGAGGGAAGGAATGGTTGAAGGAACTAGAGATATTTTGCTTAAAGATGAGTAGAAGCTGGGGAGCGTCTTTCAAACAGCCAGTACTCAGAAACGGAGGGAGAAGACTTATGCTGTATAACTTTAAATCATTATGATCTAATGATTTAATGCAGCATTTCCCAGGTAATATATACCTTTCTCCAAACTTTTATTCAACAAGTACTTATTGCAGTCTACTATTTTCCAGTCTACTAGGTCTTGGAGATAGAATACTTAGCTAAACAGACCTAGTCTTTGCATCTGTGAAGTTTATACTGCAGTGTGGGAAACAAACAACTACACAAATATTTAATTATAAACCACAGTGTTATGAAGGAAAAGTTTATCAGCATTGTCTAAATAAGCTGTGAAGCAGGCAGATAGCCTCCTTCACTTGAGATATTAAAGACTGAAACCCAAATATTTTCTTAAAGCCTTCATGAGGAAGGTTCTAATAGTTACCTTTGTTTGAATAACCTTGCTCACAGGCCTAACACACTCCCCTTGCTAAAAATGTATTACATTTTCGGAAGTATAGTCTTAGATGCAAAAGCAAGACATAAATCACTCATTTATGAAACGGTCAGAATTAACAAACACCTCCAGATGCTTTGCAAGAATTGCTCCAACGTTAAGAGCTGCTTAAATTACAGTGATGTTGAAACAGAAGATACGTTCTGTGGTCTACGTTGCAACAAAAATGAATGTGGACTGACGTAAGGAACTGGTCCACAAGGGTCCCTACTGAAAGTAGCTTATTTGAGTAAGCAACTTTTCATCAGTTTGATGTAATGCCAACTCAAACCAACTGCCCTTTGTATATTGATTTCTAAACGGCAAGGTTTTTATTTTTATAGCTGATATTCTTAACAGGAAAATGTAACATTGATTTTGAAGTGTCATTCAATAATCTTCAGGTTTTTTTTTTTTTTAAATAAACATTCACTAAGCACCAAATATGTGCTAGACACTCCACTATGAACTGGGGAAAGATGAAAAAGCCTGGCTGTGTTTTATTTGTTGTTGTAATGTGGGGGGTGCAAAAGCTAGAGGGGAAGCTAATCACTTTCAGAAGAAATCAACTGAATGTCAATGCAGGCTGACATTCCTAAACCTTCAGATTTATCTTAATCTTATTATTTACCATTCTAACACACTCTTCGTTAACAAATACAGTTATTTTGAGAACCTTCTTCACTCTGCTGTTGTTACTGTTGGTTATGTGCCGTCGAGTCACTTCTGACTCATAGTGACCCTACTGGACAGAGTAGAACTGCCCCATAGGGTTTCCAAGGAGTGGCTGGCGGATTTGAACTGCCGACCTTATGGTCAGCAGCCAAGCTCTTGACCACTGAGCCACCTATCCTTACTGTATTATGCCTACTAGATTCCACAGTATCACATTTGCTGATAAGAGAATCACAAATTTGTAATTCATGCTTGAATTTAAAGCATTTTTTGTCAAATGAATTTTTAGAATTATAAAGTATCAATCTCAAATTATCTGAAAAAAGGCATGTGTTTCCCCCTTCCCTCGCCCCTGGGGTAATTTTTAATACTTTCAGACGCGGAAACGACTATAGTTAGAAAACACTTAAGAGGATGACGGAACTCAACACATTAAGTAGGTACTTTGACTGATTATATCCCAGCGATTGACTTTGAATGGGTCTAACCTGTCTCAAGTATCTTGACACTCGATTTTTTCCTATCATACTCCAAGATTCTACACTTGCATTTCAACTATGCTGGCACATCTAACAGGAAACTCAGCTTACCTCAGACCTAAATTTGAACACTACGATAAATAAAAAGTAAAGACTGTTGTTCTTTGGCATGACCCACATAAACTGAATTTCTGAAAAATGAAAGAAGAAAAAGTTACCTCAGTAGCTTATAAAAACATAAACACACCTTAGGAAGATTACTATTAAAAGTTACTGTCATTTGATGACAGATCTTGTATGCTGTTGCTGTGTGCAGTCGAGTTGATTCCGACTCATTGCGATCCTATAGGACACAGTAGAACTACCTCATAAGGTTTCCAAGGAGCTGCTGGTGAATTTGAACTGCCAGTCTTTTGGTTAGCAGCCTGAGCTCTTAACCACTTCGCCACCAGGGCTCTAGATCTTGTATACTAGTTTTTTTTTTTTTTTTTTTAAGCGGGGGGAGGAAATGATCAATTCCTATCTAGTTGCCAGTGAACTGGGATAAACATAACAAGACTAGCCCATTCATGAATTCACCTCGGACTCAGATTAGAATATGGACTACACACCATCATCCTATAAAGACAGGTAGGTCAACCTTGATAAATTATGAACAGGCCATTTCCAGTCTCTATATACATAAGGAAGTCAATTAAACTCTATCCACAGTCAGAACTCAGGTCATTCAAATGTAAAACCCAATTATGAAGAATAAGCAATGATATCCTTTATTTAGACTAAATTTGTTCCTTCCCAGTTAACAAAGCCAATATTTGGGAAACAGATTTTCATTTTCCTAGGGGGTTACTATTTACTAAAGATGAGTTAAACAAGCACATGGAGATTTGTGGCCCTCTCCAATTTTCTTTCATATGTTCTCTTTTATCCCTCATCTTTTTCATTTTTTTAAAGAAACGTTTACGTTGGGTGTTTAAGACTAAGGAAATTTTAACAATTTCCCCAACAGGTAACTTGCTTTATATAAATGCCACTTCCAACTTCTAGAAATAAAGACACAAAGTTTACTTAATTTTTTAATAAACCATAAACTTTAAATATTCAAATAAAAGGAAATAAAAATAGATAGTTAAGCCAAGCACTAATTTGTGCTTTAATTCTTCCTCTGGGTGTTGGAGGCTTTACTTACCTGGGACCAGAAGACTAGAGTAATACAGTTAGAATGCTTGTGTAATAATGAACAAGTAAGAATGGGCAATGGCCTGACGAAATTTACTTTCAAATCTGGAAGAAAATAGCAGCAGCTTACTCAAGCCCACTGCAGAGACCTTACACTGACTGGTCTCATCCGTGGAAAACTACTATGGCTTACCATTCTCACCATACTTTCTTTGTCCCAACTTAGCACTCCCTGGCATTTTGATCCTTTTGCTCTCTGAAGCTCACTTCAGTCTGTCAAAACATCAAGAGGGAAAATCCCCAAACTGAATAGAAGAGTAAGCACTTCTAAATGTGAACAATCATATTCAGACCAACCTCTCTGCAAAAATACAAGTCAGTGGGTTTTTTTTATCTGTAAGTAACTCAGATATTACTTTTTTTTTTCTGCCTTTACTGAAATTCCACTTTTTCATTTATTTACATTGGCCAGATATATTTTCTACTTGCTTTTATTTTTCTCAGCTCATATTGGTACCATGATTTTCTTTTTGATTGAGCCCTATAATTTCCAATGCAGAATATTTGCTCTTTGACCAAGTACAACCTCCTCTTTCTGTAAACAAATCTGCTAGGTAGCAATGAAAATTAAAAAAGAAAAGAAAGTAATGAGCACTAGCAGGATCTCACTTCAACATTCAGGTAATTTTTTATAAGAAAAATGTTCATTTCTATTATGGAATCTAAAACCATTATTGTATGATACTATAAGTCTTTTAGCATACTCAAATGGGTCGACATTCAATATGGACAGCAAGCTAGCTCACAAGAAACACACTGTAATGCACAAATACCTTTAGCTGGTAGAATCCCAGCAGCTTGATAATAGAGTGCAGCAAAAATTTCCTTATATTGAATAAGAGCTCCAGTAACATCTGAATATTTTTGGTAAAGTTAAGGAAAAGCTACTGCAGGCAGGAGATAAGTAACTGTTCTACTTCAAAGGATGGCTGTCAGGGGACCACAGGGAGCCAATAAAAAACACTAGCTTGGAAAGGAATGTTTTTTTCCAAAAATGCAAAATTATCTTATACAGATGTTTAACCATACTATGATTTGACAGGTTTATAGTGGTAAACAAAACAGCAAAGAAAAACTAACATTATCTATACCTTTCGCATGTAAAGAAAACAGATTTTAAAATTGGCAATGAGAAATTCTATGACAGTTCCTGAGACAAGTTATCCTATGCCCTACATCTACCCATGCCAATAATGGCCAATCTGAACAGTAACACATAAAGTAAAAACAGTGATATACTGTCTGTGAGTCAGACAGTACTTGGAAAGTGACGAAGTTGTATGTTATTAAATGACAAAACATATTTACAGGCTTTATTTAAAAATCTCTCACTGTTCATTATCAAAGTTACAAGATTGTTTGCATACCAATAGACAGACTGTAAACATAGGAAATTTTCATTAAGGAAAGATGGGTTTACTGTAATTTGATCTTTTACAAAAAATTACTGCAAGTTATTGATAACAGAATTTCTCTTTTACTTTCTTAAGTCTAATTCTCTTGAAAATTAAACCAATGTTTCCACTCCCTTGAGCTAAAGTTCAACCATGGTCACCTTAGGAAATACCCCTGTTTATTTGTTAATCAGAAATACAAACTGATGGCACATATTTCCATTTTCTTCTTAGGCTGAAGGTTTCAGCTTCATTATATTTTACAAGAAAATAGAAGACTTGCAGTGGTCCTGTGAAGTCTTTCACTTCGCAGCTGAGGTTTAATGACGGCAGTGGAGGAAAGCAGTGCTGATGCAAAGTAAGACCAGCCCAATCGCCCTTATCTGACATGGAATCTTTTTCCTGTTTGGCTTGCAGCAGCAAAGTCTTTCTGGTCAAGTTGCCTCCACCAAACCTGACTGAAGCAGAAAGGTGACATGCTCTGGTAAATCCTGTTTAAGGGTGATTCCATTCAGGCAAACAGATGATCCTTCAATCTGTTGGCTGTGGGATGATACTAATATGAAGAAAATTATCCGGGTAGCTCAGATGTTCACTCAGCCACTGCAGAGGTGTTTCCAGCATTGGTTCAATTCCATGAATCATTACTTGATTCTTCTTTTCCCCATCTATCCAGGAAAGAAATCCAAAAGTGATTATTAAGAGTCAAAGTAGTTGAAGAAAAAAATCTATTCTTTTGAGAATCCTTAGTGAATTAAATGGATTTTTACAGCTTTAACAAGTTAAACCTCATCTGTCTCCTGAGCAGGAAACGTGGACATGGAGAAAGTTCAAATGTTGCAATATGTATCACCCAAAACAGAAACCTGAGGGTTACAATGAATTCTGATAAAAATTCTGTTGCTATATGTGAAAGTATTCATTCTTTCTTAATTACTGTGCTTACCTAAGATTGACGTTAATGAAACTATAGTGGAGAAAACAGCCCATTATACCCACTGACCAAATTTACTTTAGTTACACATCAAAAACTGTAGTAATTAGCTATTAAGAATGATATCTATAGGAAGTAGGTCAATACATATTTAAAAAATAGATAACAGAAATGTGACTACAAAGAATAAAAAATCAGTGTTTGGAGAGACGTTTAATAAAACAGATGGGAGCTTTAGGTTAATTTTCAGTGAAGCTGTTCAAGCATGTAAGAAAAAGTTTTAGAGTCATTATTAGAATAAGAGTCAACAAAGTTTTCATCAGAAGGAACTAAAAGTCTGACTCAGGGATTCCTGTTTCAGAGTTATGAAACCTGACTGATTTTTGACAGCACAGTGGTTAAGAGCTACAGCTGCTAACCAAAAGGTTGGCAGTTCGCATCCACCAGCCGCTCCTTGGAAACCCTATGGGGCAGTTCTACTCTGTCCTATAAGGTCGCTATGAGTTGGAACTGACTCGAAGACAACTGGTTTTCTTTATTGTCTAATTAAAAAGGTGCTGCAATTCACACTTCTCTTTTAAATTCAAATTTTACTCCACATTAAAGATTTTTTGTTTTTCATGATTTTGGGATGATGCACTGACAGCCTTTAAGTAAACAGAAACACTCTTGGTTGTTGTAGGAAAACAAAGAAAGCAAAACCAAACTCCTCTAATGAACTAACAAAACACAGAACCACCAAGAATCTTTGTGTTGCTCCTTTAGCACAATTCATGGCTTTTCTCCTTTGTGATCTCTTCAAAACACAACGCTTAAACCTCTCAGCTTCCTGGAGACAGAGGACAACAAAAAAACAGGGAATTCATGGAACTACAGGAGAGGGAAATACCTTAATTCTTCCTTTCTGCTCTGTTCAAAGTGACTTTTGAATCCCTAGTGCTCTAATGTGTAGGCAAAATGGGTGTATGATGTACAGTGATAATGTATGGTGCCTTAAAACCTAAAACTAAGAGATTCTTTTAAAAAAACATTTAAATTTTCTGTTAGAGGCAGCAGAGTTATGGGAAGTCAATCCACTGATAGTCAATTGACTGATAATAAGGGAAGACACAAAAACACTATGTAGAATTGAGAAAAGAATGCAAAAAAAAAAAAAAAAAAAAAAAAAATCTAACAAACATACTATCAATCCCAAAGCCAACCAAATAAAAAGTCCCAAATCCCCGAATCACTGTGTCAGAGTTTTAAAAAAATTTGGAAAATGTTATCACCTCATAGTACTATTAACCTAAAAAATATTTTCATTGTTTTCTCAGCCAATCTTTGTTGCATCTATACATACTGTTTTACATAACTGTGATCACAGTGTTACTACAATGACTGGTTTTCATAATGATGATACAAATCACATATAAATAAAATATTAAGCTATATACAGAATACCATAGAAAGCATGGTATTAGTACTTTGGGAAGATTTTAAAATGTTGATAATCAAATCGATAAACTCTTAGCTATCCAGAATGATTAATTCTCTGAAAGTGCCAGATTGCCAAGATGTTACCGTATTAAATCTTTCTTAGAATATTTGACAACATTTCTGGTGTAGTTCTTTTCATATTCTTATTATATTTCTTTGAAATACTTTAGAATTCTCAGAATGTTCGTCCTACTTAGCAATGAGTCAAAAAATGAAAGAGCAGTGGTTCCTTATCTGTTACATTTTTCCTTAAGCCAGAGTTGCCTTTGGATATGCTGAAACATAGAGCAGAAGAAGCAAGTCACAACTCAACATCCAGAATTCTGTGCCTAAAGCAGTATTTAAATGTGGAAGTCAATACAACATGGCATACAGTCCACTGATGCACAGGGTGTTTAAAAGGCAAAAGATCAACCCTCATACACAAAAGGATAGATGGATTTTATGAGCTGTACAATAGAGTTGGAGAACATAAGCACTATTTAAACATTTCCTCTAACAAACTAATAAATCACACTATCAGAGTCTAGAATAGGCATCACTGCTTTTCTGGTTTAGAAGGTGGGGCCACTTGAACACTTTTGTGCTCCGATTATTTTCTGCTTTGAATTTTTTGTTTTGGAATCATGTGTTTTCATTAGTGGAAGCACACTGAACCATTGACTGTGTCTGAATTTTTGGTAGGTAGTATGAATTTTTGTTTCTTGCCCACTCCCACAAACCTATCCTAAATGTTGAGTGGTATATATGAAGGACCACTAATTATACCCGAGAGCCCCACTGGGGTTTATTGGTAAATATGTGTGTGTAACAAATAAAAATTTTCTATTTTTCCTACCAAAAATTGAGATGCCTCATACAATACCCTGAAAAAAACAGTAATTTGTGGCATACACCCGTTTCTTTGGTTTCAAACAGTCATAAAGGCCCCTGCCTTGTGACAGCATGCACTGTCAGGGGTGCAGCAGCCTCCAAATAAACCTTCAGAGGCAGAAAAAGTACTTGGTCCCTAGCAGTATCCATTAGCACAAAAGGGCTAAATCTATAGCATAAAAGGATCACTAAGGCAACTAAGGAAGAGAATCTAGAAGGACAGTCTAGAAGGACTGACAACACAACAGTTTTATGTTTTAAATATATTATTTTTCAGTGCCTACATTCGCATATATTGTGTATTTGTCTTTTTTTTTTTTCTTTCCTGACTGCCCCAACAACACAACTGTAACCAGAGTGATTCTTGGAATGGGACAGCAGTTCCCTTGGATTAACTAAAGTTTCTCTTTTATTTATCACTGTATCCTCAGTGCCTAGGATGGTGTCTGATACATAATAATGGATCAATTAATGTTTTCACAGATTGGATAATTTCCTTGCTGGTAAAATGCAGTGCCAAGATTAATGTTTTAGTATTGCTAAGTAAAAGGGCTCTTCCTATATGGTTATTAAATTTTAAAACAGCAACAAAAAATGTTTCCAGATAAGCCAAAAAGCATATATGCTATTACCTTAATTCATGCAACCATAAATAACAACAAAGCATGACTGGACATTTTAGCAATATCAGAACTAACAAAAGGGAACAGTGAAAAATTGGTTGACGTTTCTTTTTTTCTAACAGTAAAAAAGAAATATTGATGACACTACTAAAGTAAATGTGTTTTTGGTAAACGTGTCTCCGTGTTTCAAAATGGAAATCTAGAATTTAATATATTCGGGAATGAGAAATAAGTCATTACAAAGAAAATGACTCAGGAGAAATATGTTACTCCACACCTCACCCACTCAGATTTTTTAAAAATGTTAACATTAATGCTTTAAAGTAGGCAAACATTTGACACAGTGATCAAGTGAACTAGTTCTATATGAACTTCTTTTATACAGGGCACTACTTGGGGGTAACTCTGATTTTGATATACACTTTCTCCTCACTTACCAACTATTTCATTATCCGACATTTCTCATTTATGAGAATAGTAAAAAAATCTACTATGTATTTTGCGCATTAAAGATATGCGGAGGTAGGAGGTGGGAGTAATGTTGGCTTTGATGGTTAAGGTTATGTGTCAACTTGGCTGGGCCACGATTCTCAGTGGTTTGGCAGTTATGTAATCATGTAGCTGTCCTCCATTTTGTGATCTGATGTAGTCATCCTCCATTTTTGTACAACACTGATTTCGCATAGCAACCTGGTCTTTGGAACCTAATCATGTTGATAAGTGAAGTGAAGGTGTAATTTCAAAATTATAGAAAAGTTGCAAGAATAGTACGAGAAGTTCCCATGTACTCTTTACCCAGATTCACCCATTGTTTACATCTGCCCCATTTGCTTTATCATTCTGTGTGTGTGTTTTCCAAATCACTTGAGAATAAGCTGGAGTCTCCTTGAGCCCCTTCATCTCTAAATACTTCAGTGTCTATTTCTCACATAACCACAGTACAGTTAAAAAATCAAGAAATTTAATATTGAGCCCCCGGACACTCTTACAGCTCAGTAATGAAGTCACTTCTGAGGTTGACCCTTCAGCCAAAGGTTAGACAGGCCCATAAAACAAAACAAGACTAAATGGGCACACCAGCCCAGGGTCAAGAATGAGAAGACAGGAAAGATGGTAATGGGGAACCCAAGGTCAAGAAGGGGAGAATGCTGACATGTGGTGGGGTTGGCAACCAATGTCACAAAACAATATGTGTATTAATTATTTAATGAAAAACTAGTCTCCTCTGTAAATCTTCATCTAAAATACAAAAAACTAAAAAAAAAAAAATTGATAGAATACTATTATGTAATCCATATTCAAATTTTATCAACTGCCTCAATAATATTTATTTCTCTAGTCTAGGAGCCAGTTTAAGAATCACACACTGCACTTAATTTTCATGTCTCTCTACTCTCTTTGAATCTGGTACAGTATCAAAGGCTTTCTTAATCTTGACAATTATGAAGAATACATGTCAGTATTTTGTAGAATGTCCACACTGTACTTTTTTTTAAATCTAAAATTATTATTATGCTAATTCATTTTGTAAATAGGAGGACAGTCATTAATAATATTTTGGGTTTATGAATTAAATAGAAGGCCAGAAGGCAAAATTATGAAATACTGGGGAAAACTGACAAAGTTAAACCCTCAAAAATTCCAATGTCTCAACAAAAAAAAAATCACAACACATAGAAAGAAGAGAAAACAATGACCCATCCAAATGAACAAGACAAAGGGACTGAAAGCGCATCCAGGGATGACCAAATATTGAAAC